TGTCAATATGGTGAGATTTGCTTATTCGTTAAAGATGATAGATTTTATCTGTGTTATGAAATAAAACACAATAAACTTGGGTTCGGTTAGCCAAAGACGATTTGCATAATGGATAATTAATTTATTTATCAATTTTTTTTTAATGAATATTAAGGTTTTCCCTATAAATTAATTACTCAAGCTGCGTTATGAGTTTATGGATAACTAATACGGGTCACCTGGGTAGCAATGGTTATGACCCAGTTAATGGGTGTTATGCGGGTTACCTGGGTAACCTTATATGGATACAATCTCTACTCTGGCCTATATCAAAATTTGTAAAACATATCAGAATTTTGGATTGCATTAACCATACATACTTTGTATAACTTTATATGTAAATTTTTTTCAATGCCAATCTTATAATAAACTTTGCAGATACAAATAACACCTTTAGTAATAATATATTCTGTATTAGCTACAATAAAGAATTCTTTCAATAAAACAAACTTAAATTATTTATTGTATTAAGTATAGCGAACTTTCAAACAAATTAACTTATATAACCTGCTTTAAACTATTTAAATAGAATCAGCAGCTTAAAGACTTATATATTTACACTATAGATTGAGTAAAAAAATCAATTTTTTATATTGTTCATAGATTATTTATTCAAAAAATATTTAAACACTATACTAAAAATTTTCTGACGTGATAATATTTCTAAAAACTAATTAATAAGATAAAGAATTTTTTTTTGTTTTAATTGAAATGTTTTATAATTTTTATTCTAAATTTTTGTTTCTATCTATAGGAAAATAATTAAAGATTATATTTTTTACTGCAAAAATAATATCCAGAAAGTAGATCCTTGCTATGCTAGATCACGTCTTCTTTGATTTTGTGATGTTTCAATATCGTTTAATATATCAAACAATTTATTTAAACAATCAACAACTTGTGTGATATGGTTTAAGTTGTTTGCTAAAAGCTCTTGTTTTAAATAATTGGCTATATGTTTTATAGCTGCAACCTTTTGTACACAAATTTGACGTATGTCTGGATCCAAAGGACAATCATCTTCATCCATTTAAGTTAAGTCACTATCCTGCATGGTTAAAAATTAGGTTCTATTTGTAAAATTATAGATTGTTGTATATTGATCTCTTTTGAAATATATTCCTCATTAATATTCCAAATAAGAAAAGGATAATTCTCTTGTCTTTTAAAGTTTCTATACAACAATCTAATACCTTAAGGATTAAGTAATATAGCCTCTTTGATTGCATGTTGCACTAGGTGTTTATAAATAAGGAAACGAGAGTATAGGAATGAGGAACAGCTACATATCCAATGTGCTGAATTAATCAAATGACAGATATTATCATCAGCATCAATTTTTTTCATAACACATTGCTTCCAATCCTTTTTAAAATCATTGAACCAAGATGGAATTATTCATTTCTGGCATATTTGAGTAAGACGAATGAGTTGATCAGGAAAAAGATATGTGCAAATAATCTATACAACATAATCTAAGTGTGGCTTGTTAAATTGGTATAGATAGCAATATTTTACAACCTGCCAATATGATTCAATAATTATGTTTGTTTTACTTAGTGAAATGGTTAGATATGCTGATCGAGCTCAGAGGGTCCATCTTGTAGTTTTATATCATGCAGGCTATAAATAAGCCCAAAAAAGTACAAGATTATATTTAAAACAGAAATTATACATTTTGTAAACTGCATTAATGTAGATTTTATTAGCAGTTAAAAATTTATCAGCAGCATTTACAGGAATTTTCATATGCATGTTAAAGTGTTTTTTAACAAGACTAATAACTTCATTTTGCAGTTCAGATGGACATATAATATAATAATCAGACTCAAGACAACTTAAATCAGGTTTAAATGAAGAGTCTATAAAGTCAAACTCTGCAATAATGTTATTCGGTTGATATTGGGTATGTTTAATTTTATTGCAACTTTAAATTTTTCATTTATTGCCTTTTTAATATACTACAAACAGAGCTGTATACTAATTTCTGACCATACTTCTTTTGCAGTATCAATTTCAGCAAAATCTTTGTTAGTAAAGAAGTATTGTGATCATAACCCTTTGTTGGAAAGAGAGCAAAAGAAACTAATAAGTGCTTTTGTCTGTAATTTAGTTTGTTCATTATCAGTTGTATTTGTAGTATTTAATAATAAATATGCTATAGGAAATCCTATACTATTAGTATTACTAATAATTCCATAAAGTTCAAATCTTCCTCTAGCTGTTTTATAGGTCGCATCACAATGAACACATGATACTGGTAATAATTTAGTTAGCAAAGGAGTTACAAATTCGATAGCAGTAACTAAATTATTCCTCCACTTGTAACAAAATTCACTATCATTACCAGAGTTTTCTAAAAAATGACAAGCGGAAGTAACAGGATTCTTATTTAATTTAAAAAAGTGTTGATTAAATACAGACCACCAAAATTTATTTGTTTTGGAGTTACTTGTGAGGTATTAAATTTTTGACAAAGGTGTGTTTGTAGTTATATAGGATCCATATAGAGATTTTGTATGATTTCATATTTTATTTCCTTGGGAGTAGCAACATCTACAAGCTTTTTATGATAAATATCATAACTAAACTTTATTTTTGCTTTTTTTACTGCTATATCAATATTTATATCCAGTTTTCTGTGGCAATCAAATTGAATCATTCTTTTACGACTAGATTCTTTATATTCACGTTCTAATTCACGGCACTGGGAACATGAAAGATAAAATATACCAATACCAGGATGGTGTACTGATAAATTAGGTCTAGTTGTGAATTTACAATATATAAAATTTAATATTTTCAATAAACAGACATAGAAAAATATTAATAACTAAGAGCAGACTTTGGAAACCTGCGCAGCTGTGAGAACCGAGCTTAAAACGGCGAGCGACCCTACAGAAGAAATACAACTATCCAAATCATTACCAACATCTTTAAATTCCTATGATTTGGATATCTGCTACAACAAATACTTACTACACTATAAACTTCCTCTTCTAAATGGACCCCAAACTAT